GGGCTGGGGAATTCTGGGAGTTGAAGCCCACCCATGCGGGCTGGGGAATTCTGAAAGCTGAAGTTCACACTTCTCAAAGTTTTATACAATGTAATCTGCTTTATACGAATGTTCTACAAATTTATACACATTTCCTACAAATCTACTGTATTTTGTTCTTTAAGTTGTTGGGAATTCGTAAGATAAACCCTCCTTTGATCCCCTGTTAAGTTTGCTCACTCAGGAGTCTGTGGTGGCGGATCTGGTCCATCGGCTTCTGGAAGCCCAAGTGAGCAATGGAATTGCTATGGAATATCTTTAAAAAAAGATCTCTAAAAGCACTCCACGAACACTCTTTATTACACTGATTTTTGTGCTCTGATACAGAGACTTGTCCTAGGAACAAGCTACCTATTTTACTGTCTTTGGAGGACGAGACGTTTTTAAGCACGCTTAGGTGGCTGCTTCCTGAAGCTGCTGCTTATCAATTTGATAATTTTACGTTATGTTAGATGCCATCACTCTTTGCTTCAGTTCCTCAGACTTCTTTCCTTGAAATATAAGTCCAGGTTGTCTCCCATACTTGGGAGAGACACAAAGAATTCCTTTGTCTACTCTACAACCTCCGTACCCTTATTATCTTTGGGGTAATTCCTCTGCGGTTTCCTGTTTCTGATATATTTCAGTCAAGGATGGAATTCAGGTCAAGACCTGCTTTCCGCCAAGAGGTGATGTTGGGGGGATCTCTTTCACAACTGGATTCCTGGCTCTTAGCCGCTTCCTCCGTGGAACGGGATCTGCAAGGGGATGTGGGTCTTCCAACCCATTGCCCGGAGCACCACCCACCACAATTCCTGGCTCTTGGATGGGAGACGGCTCACTTCAGGCCAGGGGGCCATCTGGGTTGGCCCAAAGGGGCTGGCCAGGACCACGTTGGGCATCATTGTGAGTGTTTGGGTTGTGCAGGGACATCTGTGGAGGTTTGAGCTGTCTTCCCACTTAGTTCTGGCCTTGCCTCTCTTCTTCTCCAGAGCGTGCACGGCTGCTAGTTAATTATTGATGCTAGAATGACAATTATAGGTCCCTGCACAAGCAGGCTAAATATTTCATCAGCCTGGAACGCGGCTGGGGAAGAGGGCATTCTTCTGTCCCTTTTACTGGCAGCTTTGTTCCTGCCTCTGCCTCCCTTTGTCTGAGACGCCCCTGTGGTCTTCTCCTTGGAGTCCAAGGTGGAAGGGATGGCCCATCCCGCCGAAGGCTGCCCGTTCCTCCAGCTGGAGTTGCCTGCCCACGCCCGCGCACGGCCCCTAACGGGCCAGTCCTCTCCATACCGAAGGACCTGCAGAGCGATGCCAGCGGTGGGTGCTTTGCAAACTCCTGCCCCGAGGTCTCTCCTCAGCCAGCTTCCCCGGGATCAGTCTGCCGTTAGAAGCAGGTTTGGGTTTTTCAGAGCCTCCCAAATGAGGATGAGCAGAACGCTGCATCGTAACACCATGTCCGAGAAGGCGCAAGGAGAGTGCAGAGGTGACTTGACCGTGGAGTTTCTCCAGCCCAGGGTCTCATCCTGCACTCCCTATTTCCTCCCCCCACCCTACCCCCACGGGCCTCTCCCTTTCTCCCCTCCCTGCGGACTCAGATATCTCCAGAGTTACTATTCCCTGATTGATCATTCTGTGCAGGAATGGAGTCCATTAGCTGCCTCCAAGACAGCCAGGAATCAGTTACCAATCAATACCCTTTTAGACAAACAAGGATGCATTTCAGAGCCACCTTAAAGGGCCAACACCAGGATGGAGAAGGAGAGAAGTGCAGAACTTGGATTTTTGGGCAGGGAGGCAGGCATGGCCGGGGAGTGGCCATAAGCAAAACCACTCTTGCTTTATAAGGTTTCTAGTTCTCATGAGCTGAATCTGGGGATAACCAACCCCTGTTTCCTTCCGTCTTCTTTCTTAACGAAAACCAGGGTTGCCACCCAAAGACCTCCAGAATAACTCACCAAGTTCTAAAGATTTTAAAGATATCTGTAGGACTTACTTCAGAAAAGAAACAGGGTTGCAATTTAATAGATATATTAATTTAATAGCGTAATAAACGGTTTTGTAAGGAACTTGTTCCTAGAATTCATCAGTGGCTTTCAGACCAAATTAGCCCTAATTAAGCTTCTTTGAAATTAGTGGGATTTAATGTTGCTTGTCATTAATGCTTTTTGTAGTTATTGTGCATCGTCCCCAAACCACAAATGGAACAAACCATGTTCATTGCACACTTGAAAAGAAGCACTACATTTTCATCCCAAATAAGGGACAAGTCTTTGAAGTACTGTATAGGGCAAGCTGAACTCAGCTGAAGTTAGCCGGCTAAATCAGTTTTCAAGTTCTTCAGTGCATCTTTGCACAATGTACTCCATGTCTGATACGATCTCCATCCTCCGATCTTTATCTTCAACTTCCTGTATGGAAACGGTGGGGAGGTCCAACTGCTGTACAGCCATGGATATGCATGATTATTGGTTTACCTATGGCTTATGTGCATGTTCTCCCTGGGGAGAAGGGCAGGAAATAGGAAGTATCAAAACTCTGCCCGATCCGGTTGGGAAATTGCAGACAGGGTTAGGGTTGAGATGTTTGGTAGTT